CTAGTCAAGATGGGAGCGGAAAAAAGCAACGCGAAAAGTGAATAATTTTGGCGTGAAATACTTTATAGGTGAGGAAACTGTACAACATTGCAGTAAGGCACTAGACGTGTGTGTGTGTGTGTGTGTGTGTGTGTGTGTGTGTGTGTGTGTGTGTGTGTGTGTGTGTGTGTGTGTGTGTGTGTGTGTGTGTGTGTGTGTACTCGGTTAGTTGTGCTTGCGGGGGTTGAGCTCTGGCTCTTTGGTCGCGTGAGTGGGTGAGTGGGTGAGTGTGTGTGTGTGTGTGTGTGTGTGTGTGTGTGTGTGTGTGTGTGTGTGTGTGTGTGTGTGTGTGTGTGTGTGTGTGTGTGTGTGTGTGTGTGTGTGTGTGTGAGCCTATTCCTGTAAGCTCATCCTGACTCCTGGAAGCCGCACTAAACCAATGGGACGTCTCGTTTATCGAAAGCAACAGCAGTCAACAGGTACCTGGGAACTAGGGGACTATTGTGGTTTGCATGCTGAGGAATGACTAGTTGTTAGTTAGGGAAACAAAATCCAAGATCACAAAGTTGTCCAAACTAAGCCTAACCAACAAAGAACGAGAATATCATAGGTTTTGATCATATTCAAACAATCTATACAATTATATTACTGATATAATATATAATTTCATAATACCTAAATATAAATTAAGGCATACATTAAGCCCAGCGAATACTTTTTGTAATTGTGATTTGTTAGACAAAAGCTGCAATGATATACGTCGACATGTTGGTGGTTCGAAATGGCCTTTATATTTCCTATATCCAATGTGTCCAAAATTTATAGTGCAATTTTTGCCAGTACAATGATCCCGCACATCATCCCATGTTACTCCCACTAGCTCTTCTATTATTACACAGCCTAGTACTTCATTTATCACACAGCCTAGTATTTCCATTATAACAGCCTAGTACTTCCATTATCACAGCCTAGTACTTCCATTATCACACAGCCTAGTACTTCCATTATCACAGAGCCTAGTACTTCCATTATCACACAACCTAGTACTTCCATTATCACACAGCCTAGTACTTCCATTATCACAGCCTAGTACTTCCATTATCACACAGCCTAGTACTTCCATTATCACACAGCCTAGTACTCCATTATCACACAGCCTAGTATTTCCATTATCACACAGCCTAGTATTTCCATTATCACACAGCCTTGTACTTCCTTTATCACACAGCCTAGTACTTCCATTATCACACAGCCTAGTATTTCCATCATCACACAGCCTAGTATTTCCATTATCACACAGCCTAGTACTTCCTTTATCACACAGCCTTGTACTTCCTTTATCACACAGCCTAGTATTTCCATTATCACACAGCCTTGTACTTCCTTTATCACACAGCCTTGTACTTCCTTTATCACACAGCCTATTACTTCCATTATTACACAGCCTTGTACTTCCATTATCACACAGCCTTGTACTTCCTTTATCACACAGCCTATTACTTCCATTATTACACAGCCTAGTATTTCCATCATCACACACGACCAGAAGCATTGATACCTGTAACTACTCATGGCATGACAAGGATACTTTTGTCTTGATAAATCAAATAGACTCGTTTTAAAATTAAGTCTATAGGCGTACCGATTTAAAAAATTTTCCTTCTTAAAAGAAGAACACCTGATTAAAAATACCATAGTCCTAAACATGAAATAAGCAAAAACAAAATAAGAGAACATAGACTAACAGAATTATCTTATTTGCAAATAGGGATGGTCTACGTTATAAACTCCTGATGCTTTCCCAGGGTAGTCTATCAACAAGTACTGAGACATGTAGCGCACTACGATAGGCTATCTATCTTCGCCAATTAAAAATGGTCATTCAGGTGCCTGAAACAATCACTACGAAGAACACTCAATGTTCCCTATTATGTACATCAATGCAAAGAACACCCACCACGAGGGGCTCCTTGTTACATCACTGCGAAGAACGCCCTCTGAGTGCTCCCTATTGCACTGCCTATTTAAACGCCAGCAGCCATGAGGAAGACCTCTCCGTTCTCAGCCACAGCCTAGCCAGTTGTGGCCCCCACGTGCCGCACCCTCACAGCTGATAACATCAAGGTAATCAACACTTAACCCACCACCGAGATAGTTCGTCTCGGCCGAGCGCTATCACAACACGATCCCCCCCAGACAAAGCCGCCACCCCCACACAGGTTATCCTGGACAAAAAAAAAAATATATTAATCTTATGCGTTCACTCCTATTAAGACCAGAGCTAATTTTTCGATAAAAAGGATTTTCATTAACTCTCCGTGTGGTGGAAGGTCAGTGTCGCCCAGAATATAATGATCAGTGAAGAAACTCCCCACCGCTTTCAGGTCTTCATTAACGACCCCACCTCGTTAATCTCAACCCCCCTAATAACATACTAGAATGTGAAGGGACGACGACGTTTCGGTCCGTCCTGGACCATTCTCAAGTCGATTGAGAATGGTCCAGGACGGACCGAAACGTCGTCGTCCCTTCACCTTCTAGTGTGTGGTCTGGTCAACATACTTCAGCCACGTTATTGTGACTCATCGCCTGCCCCTAATTTATTTATTTATTTATTTTATTTATTTATTTATATACAAGAAGGTACAAATGTTTTTGTGAGAATACATAGCATATTACAGTAAATGCATTCTTGTAAAGCCACTAGTACGCGCAGCGTTTCGGGCAGATAACATTTCTGTTCGGCAGTTTTCCTACCTTTGTTCGCAAAATTTCTACAGCTTCGGCAGTCTCTGCGCGGAGCCAAGCTAAGTGATAACAGAGCACCAGCAGCCTCCAGCTATCAAAACACTCTCTGACCTTGATCTTCCAGTCAGCGGCAAAAAAATGCCACTTTCAATACATTTACCTAAACTTAGTTTTTATTTCACTCAGACTTGTCAAAATAATGTTGTAAATAAAGATTTAATGAAAGCCCACATAAGCTTTATCATTCTCTTGTTGATAATAAAGATTGTAGAATTATCTTGTTTATTTAACGTTTCCTTTATAAACATTAAATGCTGACTAAGATGGGCTGTAACATGCAGTCACAATACAAGATAACAAGTATCTTGTAATCCTAGTTTTGTATTGTGACTGGAAGTTACATCCCATCTCAGTCAGCAGTTAACGTTTATAAAGATAACAGTAAATAAAATATTCACACAAAGACCCTTCATTAACAACAAGGGAATAATAAAAGCTTACTTGGGCTTTCATTAAATCTTTATCAATAAATCTTTTCTCAGCCAACGGTTCCCACTGTGATTTAATCTCAGCGATGAGATAAGCCCCACAAAGCCAGGCTAGCTTGTAAGAAGCACTTGCAGCTATCAATATGAATGACAGCGCTGGGGTGAGGGAGGTGAGCCGACAGTGTGGTCGTCTTGACGACCTGTTCTCTGCTATATCTCAGAGCTACGACCTCTTGACTTTTCCTGGACTGACTGTGCTTTGTGCATGCAGATTCAATGGCAGAGCGCCATACTAGCCTTCTAGTATGGCTGGTCTGGTTACTGTGGACTTAGGACCAGTTTAACTGTGGACCAGTTACTATAGTTACTGGTCCACAGTTCTATAGTAACTGTGGAGCAGTAACTGTGTTTCACGTGAAACAGATTCATTAGTATATTGTTTCGGTACCAGAAATAAAGTTCGGATCAGAATTTTGCAAATCTTCACTTTAACGCAAATATAGTTTTCCATATTTCCAAGAAAAGTTTCAATATCATGAATTCTATATATTTAACTCGTAAGTATTTACTCTATAATTATAAATTCCTAATAAACATCCTAATAACTACATAGAAGTTGAGAATGTTGGAAACACACGGAAAATGCAGGTGAATAGGCTTACAAATTTGAATTCCTGGACAATTATATTTTAGGCACTAGTAAGCCTACGTTTCAAATTATGACACTGCAGTAAGTGGTAGAAAAAAAACTGCAGTAAGGAATGGCACTGCCCTGAAACTATTGTAAAATGATAGGGACAGTCCTGAATTTTGTGCAGGGGATAAGATATGCCTATTTGAAGCAAATGTGTCGAGATAGGGGCGGCTCTGAAGCTGTTGAGCAGGTTAGGGACGGCCCTGAAGCCGTTGTGTAAGGATAGGACCGGCCCTGAGGCTGTTGTGCAGGGATAGGAGCGGCCTGAAGCTGTTGTGTAGGGAAAGGAGCGGTCCTGATACTGTTGTGTGGGGATAAAAGCGGCTCTGAAGCTGTTGTGTAGGGATAGGAGCGGCCCTGAAGCTGTTGTGCACCTATAACGAGGAATGTCACACTCATGATGGCACTGCACGCTCAGCACGGGAGCCAAGACAGGCACAACACTCCAGTTTCTAACATTCCCCAACACGCCCTCTAAACACGCAACACAGCGACCAACAATTAACACCTCCAGGTAAGTCAAACGGCCTCCTTGAAACCCTTCCTTTACATTACTACCCAAGACCAGTAATCAGCAATTACACAAGTCGACTAACTACAACCTCCCGGGTGTCCACGAGACGCAGGTCACCAACGAGCCAGATATCAACCAACCCACACGGCATCATACAGTAAAACACAAGATGACTATGATAACCAATGGTGCGCACGTTATCAAGCCAACGGGAACGGATCCATGTAGATAGAGGTAACGCTTCGGGTAATGGTATACAGAGCAACCTGTGAGCTAGACTAAGCAGAAAATAGCGTGACGTCGTTTGATGATGTCTCCTGCAGAGTTGTTAACTACATAGTCCAGTTTAAGGCTACTAGGCTACCTACTGTTAACAACATGGTTTAGTCTCTTGTAGCGAAACCAAGCCTAACTTACATACCATAAATTCCATAATTTACAAACCGATTCATACACAACCAATCGGTAAATCTGGTGATTCTGTATTCAGAGAGTCGGAGTTTAGAACTGAAACCGAAATAGCCACAGAGGAATGGTTTGTATTTAAGAAAGAGACAGCGACAGTGTATTAACTTACCTTATGCTAGAAGATGCCATTGTTGTCGAAGATGATGGTGGTGATCAATGCTAGAAGAATCCGGTCCTCATGGCTCCCACCACTCGTCCTCTTGCCTCCTGCACTCGACGCACGCACTTTACTTGCCCCAGTGCCGCTCACAAAGGCACTTCAAGTGGCCCTCAGCGTGAGGGTCACTTATGCCAGTGATCGGGCAAGCACAAACGCGCACACACGCACACTCCTGATATGTCTGTTAGTTCCTAACTCGCGCTTACTGAAGGCCTCCTCACTCAGATGTACCTTATGTGTTTTTTTCCAATTTATCCTAAAAAAAACTTTACATGCTAAATTTTCATTCAGCATAAAATTACACATTTGAACACTACAACATTTTCCTTTGGCTTAAAAACCATGAACGAATTCATCAACACATTGAACAAGAAACAAAATAAAAATACAAATATCGAACAGACACACACACACGACATAGAAAACAAGACCGAAAACTGCATGATAAACTTTTATGGTCTCAAGAGCACCTAGTTTGGTTGTCTAATATTACACTTCCGTGTACTAGTAGCCTAGTTGATGAGCGTACCATCACCAGTGGCAGAGAGCAGGAGACACTACCACCATCACCAGGGGCAGAGACCAGGAGACACTACCACCATCACCAGTGGCAGAGACCAGGAGACACTACCACCACCACCAGTGGCAGAGACCAGGAGACACTACCACCACCACCAGTGGCAGAGAGCAGGAGACACTACCACCACCACCAGTGGCAGAGACCAGGAGACACTACCACCATCACCAGTGGCAGAGAGCAGGAGACACTACCACCACCACCAGTGGCAGAGACCAGGAGACACTACCACCACCACCAGTGGCAGAGACCAGGAGACACTACCACCACCACCACCACTAGTGGGAGACACCAGGACACTACCACCACCAGTGGGAGAGACCAGGAGACACTACCACCACCACCAGCGAGACACCAGGAGACACTACCACCACCACCACCACCAGTGAGAGAGACCAGGAGACACTACCACCACCACCACCAGTGAGAGAGACCAGGAGACACTACCACCACCACCACCAGTGAGAGAGACCAGGAGACACTACCACCACCACCAGTGGGAGAGACCAGGAGACACTACCACCACCATCAGTGGGAGAGACCAGGAGACACTACCACCACCACCAGTGGGAGAGACCAGGAGACACTACCACCACCACCAGTGAGAGAGACCAGGAGACACTACCACCACCACCAGTGAGAGAGACCAGGAGATACTACCACCACCACCAGTGAGAGACCAAGAGACACTACCACCACCACCATTGAGAGACCAGGAGACACTACCACCACCACCATTGAGAGACCAGAAGACACTACCACCACCACCAGTGAGAGAGACCAGGAGACACTACCACCACCACCAGTGGGAGAGACCAGGAGACACTACCACCACCACCAGTGGGAGAGACCAGGAGACACTACCACCACCACCAGTGGGAGAGACCAGGAGACACTACCACCACTAGAGACCAGGAGACACTACCATCACCACCAGTGAAAGAGACCAGGAGACACTACCATCACCACCAGTGAAAGAGACCAGGAGACACTACCACCACCACCAGTGAGAGAGACCAGGAGACACTACCACCACCACCAGTGGGAGAGACCAGGAGACACTACCATCACCACCAGTGAAAGAGACCAGGAGACACTACCACCACCACCACCACCACCAAAAGAGAGACCAGGAGACACTACTAGTTTAACCGGCGCCTCTCTCTCATCTCTTCTATCGCATCTCCTTTATCCGTCATTTTGCCGTCTGCATGTCTCGTACATCGCCTTACGAGTCGCACCTCTTCTGCTAGTGTGGCAGAACGCATCCATTAGCCACACCTCGTCCTCTTAGGTGAGGTAGAACGCACCCATTAGCCACACCTCGTCCTCTTAGGTGTGGCAGAACGCACCCATTAGCCACACCTCGTCCTCTTAGGTGTGGTAGAACGCACCCATTAGCCACACCTCGTCCTCTTAGGTGTGGCAGAACGCACCCATTAGCCACACCTCGTCCTCTTAGGTGTGGCAGAACGCACCCATTAGCCACACCTCGTCCTCTTAGGTGTGGTAGAACGCACCCATTAGCCACACCTCGTCCTCTTAGGTGTGGCTGAGTGCGGGACTCTTCAAGCCACACCTCTACCAGGGTCTTCTATCCTTTTATTCAATTTCACACTATTTTCTGAGGTCCTGAAAGGAGCTGGCGTCAAGTGTGGCCGCCTGGGCCCTCCACCGCCCGTTGTCATCTCACTCCAGACACTTAGCAACACACACACACTAATTACTATCTCCACCAGTTCCGGCGAGTGACACTTCAACGCAACTCATAAACTACAATGACAAGTTTCCTATACCACGACACTCGAATGTTTTAAAAAAACTCGAGTGATAGACGAGGCTCGACTTGCAAATCACTCGAAAATTAATCCATATATAAAATCAAGATCACTGTCGCAATATCCATTTTCATTGAAGAGTTTGGGGATGTGTGGATCACACACACACACACACAAGCTCACACAGACAGAGACACAGCGCCCAGCGCACACCTCGGCCACACGTGCCTCTCTGAAGACTTGGCCAGCGATCATTCCCTCAACCCCCCGGTGGTGCCTCGCTGCCCCGTACGACAACTGCTCTCGGGGCCTTCCGGCAACAGCTGGAGTTTAGAAAGGCTGCCAGACGTAAAGTCAAAAAGACTGCACTTAATTTATCAATTGCTCAATTTCCTGCCAACCACAATTGTCCGTTTCAGCGCTCGCAGACGTAATAATATACTATGATTTTTTGACCTCTAATTATGTGTTTTATAATTGTGATATTGGATGCGTTAATAATGATAATAACACTATGGTAGTTCAGACGATGTTTTGGAGGCGGGTAATGGTTAGGATAAAGGATATATGGATAAGAGGGAAGAGTTGATTAAGTGTAGAGAACATACAAGACACATAGCCAGGTATTCCTGGCCCCAGGGTATACATACACGCCCGTGACACATAGCCAGGTATTCCTGGCCCCAGGGTATACATACACGCCCGTGACACATAGCTAGGTGTTCCTGGCCCCAGGGTATACATACACGCCCGTGACACATAGCTAGGTGTTCCTGGAGCAGAATAATGTTTATAACGTTTATTCCGGTGTAAAGTTTTACCGTAAGCATCCTGTTTTTGTTCCACTATTGACTTGAGGAAACAGCTTGTCATGTGTTCATTTAATATTGACCAGAGTCCAACAATTTGTGTCAGTTTGTTGTGCATATATATTAAAACTAATGGGTGAAAACACTAAAAAAAAAAAAAAATGCTAGGCTTACTATACACTAATTCATATTATTACTAATTATCAAATTAGATAATGATAGAAACGTGGCTATTGTTAAATTCACTTACTAGAAATATTAAAAGATCAACAAAGCTCGTTTTCTAAAATAAAATACCATTGCAAAGTAGATGTTAATAATGAATATATCTATCCTAGCGGACATTTGCAGTTTTTCAAATACAGTTTAATCCCGCTTGCTCACAGGCTTGACCACTCACGTAACAAATGCAGTAATAACCAGTCATGACACGAATCAAAACTACTAAATAATGGCCTTCCGTCATTTAACACATTAGCAAAACCTGAAATCAATAGTAATAATTTTCTAGAATTGTCTGTATTGCTTTGTATTTTGAGTTTACATAATAAGCAAGGTGTTAATTTTCCCCTTGTGATACCACGTCATCCACCTGTATACTAGTTTCCCTTGTTTTTTCCCTCTCTCCAGTGACTACATTTTAGGCAGTGGTAACAGTTAAAGATAAGATGTGTTGCATTGCGTCGCCTGATAATTAGCACTGCAGCGCGGGGTCTGAGCACACGAAGCCTCAACAACCTGATGAGTGAAGATTTACAACCGCAATAACTCGGCCTCGTTACCAGCTTCAGTTGCTCAGAAGTCTCGCAGTAGCTGTCCGCTCTCGTCCACTCAAGTCATTCTGGCGAGTGAAATGTTTGTACTTGTGACCAGACATTTTGATGGGTCATTCTTGTTACCAGGGTCGAGGACAAGAAACTTGTTAGGCTTGTAGAATTTCCCCCAGGAGGGGGGGGGAAGGTTACTGGGTATACTAACCTTCCGCAGCATGTAGATGCCTAACTGTATGGTACTAATTTATTGCTAGGTGGATAGAAGCATCAGGTATAATGTAAAGTACCCAAACGTCTCTTCACGAATCCAACTTGAATTCAATAGGGCGAAAAGAAGCGGAAACGGACTGAGAACACTAGAGTATTCACTTTAGATTCTTTACCCGTGTAAAGGAAAGTTTTCTTGGCTCTTACTAGTAGTGGTAAGCGGCTCGCAGAGCGGCCCATTGACTTTTGCCAAGTTGTTGGTTTGATCGTACATTACTGAGGCGAGTGGTCGAGAGGTTGGGAATCATGCGAGGAGACTTGTGTCGGGTTAATGGGTTCTCCGTCATCTGGACGGCTGCATCACTTGCCTCACAACACCATTTCCATGTCTTCCATTAACTTTTTTTTTTCTCTCTCTCTCTCGGTTTTGAAATGATATTTTTGGACAAATATTTGGATAATTTCAGTCTCCTTTGAAAGCACTAGAGAAATACGATGGCTTGAATATGTCTGTAAAAGTGAATATTGAGTATGGTATTGCAACTCAGCTGCAGCTCTACGCCCTCCTGCACTATGACGAGCTGTGTGTCACTCTAGCAAGACTAGAGTGACACACAGTGACACATATGTGTCACAACATATAGAAACGAACTTCACTTTCGACTTTAACAAAGACGTCGTTTTTGTGTCTCGTCTCCAGAGCCATTTGGCTGAGGGAATGATTACCATGAAATGTTAATACTTTTAAGCTTGAGAGGCGACTCTCAGAGAACACTTACCTACCTACTTATTACTTTACACTTCTAATTTCGTCTTATTGAACTTCCGAAGGCACGAGCGATGTCGCGTTGCAATTTTATCAAAAAACTTTTTTACGGATCTTCTAACTTTTCCCTGCCAAAAATACACCCCACTGGAGCTATGACAAGTTTTATTACTTACACAATACTGAAGGACGCCTTGTGGGCGACGTGACCCTGTTGTGTAGAGCATGCTGCTGGCGTTAGGCTATTTATATGAGCCTCTGGAGTTAGGTTTTGGTCCACTTTCAGGTTTTCTTCTCATAGTCGCTATAGGGAGGTAGCTTCCCTTCATCGTGTACTGGGCTTTTGGTCTCCTGTCACCTGGTTCCATTTCTATCACTTACACTTGCTGGTGTTGAAATGGAATTCATTAGGCAGTGATGTGGTGGAGGCTGACTCCATACACAGTTTCAAATGTAGATATGATAGAGCCAAGTAGGCTCGGGAATCCTAAACACCAGTTGATTGACAGTTGAGAGGCGGGACCAAAGAGCCAGAGCTCAACCCCCGGGCAAACACAACTAGGTGAGTACACACACATCCCCAGGAACAACCCAAAGCAGCAGGTGTGTGTGTGTGTGTGTGTGTGTGTGTGTGTGTGTGTGTGTGTGTGTGTGTGTGTGTGTGTGTGTGTGTGTGTGTGTGTGTGAGAGTGTGTGTGAGTGTGGGGGGGGTGAGTGTGAGTGTGAGTGTGCTCACCTAATTGTGCTTGCGGGGGTTGAGCTCTGGCTCTTTGGTCCCGCCTCTCAACCGTCAATCAACTGGTGTACAGATTCCTGAGCCTATTGGGCTCTATCATATCTACATTTGAAACTGTGAATGGAGTCAGCCTCCACCACATCACTTCCTAATGCATTCCATTTGCTAACTACTCTGACACTGAAAAAGTTCTTTCTAACGTCTCTGTGGCTCATTTGGGTACTCAGCTTCCACCTGTGTCCCCTTGTTCGCGTCCCACCAGTGTTGAAAAGTTCATCCTTGTTTACCCGGTCGATTCCCCTGAGGATTTTGTAGGTTGTGATCATGTCCCCCCTTACTCTTCTGTCTTCCAGTGTCGTGAGGTGCATTTCCCGCAGCCTTTCCTCATAACTCATGCCTCTTAGTTCTGGGACTAGTCTAGTAGCATACCTTTGGACTTTTTCCAGCTTCGTCTTGTGCTTGACAAGGTACGGGCTCCATGCTGGGGCCGCATACTCCAGGATTGGTCTTACATATGTGGTGTACAAGATTCTGAATGATTCCTTACACAGGTTCCTGAACGCCGTTCTGATGTTAGCCAGCCTCGCATATGCCGCAGACGTTATTCTCTTTATGTGGGCTTCAGGAGACAGGTTTGGTGTGATATCAACTCCTAGATCTTTCTCTCTGTCTGTTTCATTAAGTACTTCATCTCCTATTCTGTATCCTGTGCCTGGCCTCCTGTTTCCACTGCCTAGTTTCATTACTTTGCATTTACTCGGGTTGAACTTCAGTGTGAGTGAGTGTGTGTGTGTGTGTGAGTGTGGGGTGTGTGTGTGTGTGTGTGTGTGAGTGTGGGGTGTGTGTGTGTGTGAGTGTGGGGTGTGTGTGTGTGTGTGAGTGTGAGTGTGTGTACACATTGGGCGTGTACACACACACACAAACACACCATCTTGCTCAGTTTGTTTATCATGGCTAGTTGTTCCTTCGTGAAGTCCACAGCACCCCACCCTCCCTTCTCTTCCATTCTTCTCCCTTCCCATTCTTGTTTCACCTTCCCTCTCCCACTCACCTCCCTTCCTTCACCCCCTTCCCAACTTCCCTCCACGTTCCTCTCCCACGTTGTATATATATATATTTCCAACCACTCTCATCCACGTATACCTGTTCCACATCCATCTTTAACCTCCTCCCCCCTTCCTATTTTTTCCACAGTCGGCTAACAACTTTACATCTCCTCTTCCATCTCTTCCACACCTCCCTCCCACCTCTCCACTCTCACGCTCGCCCCATCAATCAGGCAAGCAAGCAACAAGTAAAGGCAACTGTTGCTTGCAGGCTTGCCCGAGTCTCCTCTCTGCTGGATACTGGCGTCTGAAGCTGTTCCAGCTGTTCCTGCTACTGCTGTTACTGCTACTGCTGTTACTGCTAGTGCTATTGCGCTGTTACTGGAGTGCCCTCGATGGCACAGGTAACAATGATCTAACTACCCCTGGCCTCCACAGTATCTGGGAGGAAACAGAGCCACACACTAATGCCGGAAATAACATATATACAGCTGTTAATTTTATGGGTGGAGTAAGGGGGGAAGTGGGAGAAACAGCGGGCTCACTATAGGCCTACTGGTGTAGGAAGCCAGCATTGAATACTTCACCTTGTGGGTCATGACCATTAGGGTGGAAGCCGCAGGCCACGGTCGTGTGTGATACGCCTGTCTTCAAGCTGCCTACATTTGTGTGGTGGGTGATTAGACTTGATTGGATGATTAATTTCCTTGTTTAGAAAAGTACAGTGTGATATATTTATTATTATTTTCAACGTGAAATTAGAGTTGTATGGTTACTCGATGTATTTCGTGGAACATATTGGATGTAATTACTATTGTGAGACATGGCAATACAGTGTTGCTTATAATACGGGTGATTGTATATTATAAAGGTGTTACTTCACTTGTGTAAGACACCCAGCCTCCACCA